TTACATCATAACACATAACAATATAAAACTGAAAAGTAAATAACAACTAGAATAACAGAATCATAAATCGACCACATGTGACTAGATACATTCTACCCTACGGACAGAGTGGGACCACAGCTGTGGGGCCCACATCAATGTTCTCTACATCCGGAACTCTCGATACACAAAGTTTGCATATTAAGAGTATCGTCACTTTGAACCTTGGAGTAAAGTGGTGCAAAATTTCTCTTTTTTTTTACTGTGATCTGTAACAACATAATCTTTTATGATGTTAATGTTGTAAACATTAGACAAAATTTCTGTGTTTGAAGACCGACAAAAAAAAGCAATGTAGGGAAATCAACATAATTAAAATACTTAGCAAGAGTTCCCATTAAAAGACAACAGTTACGTCCTACATTACACCTCATTAGGTATGCTTTTTTCTTGGTCCTTCCAGTTCCAAGAACCTTGTATAAGAGTGATTTTAGAAAGGAGGCTCTTTTTACAAGGGAAGAATTATTTGTATTTACTGCTGGAAGAATATTTGAAATGAGGTGTATAAATCCAGAGATTTGATTTACTGCTGGAAGTTGGTTAATTACTTCTCAGAATAACATTTACTTAAAGGTCCAAAAATCATTAATTTGCTTTCAGATTGCAAAGATATAGTGTTCCTGAAGATCATCCACTGGAAAGGGAGCTATCACTGTTATTTCGAAAGTGAAAACTAGTCTCTTCAAGCGTTCCATGTAGACAATGATTTCCTATGTCAAACGCCTTTTGTTCTGTAAACCATGTTAATATGGAAAACGGAGTTCTTGATTAATTTTGGGACAGCATCTTGCTCCTATACTTGCTTTATATTCTTTTTTTTTTCATCATCTTATGCAATAATTGCTTTGATTGGCACTGATTCTTCTGGAGTCACAATCAGATCAAATCTGCAATTCTGGGCAATGACAACTGGGAACCAAATGGGACTTCTTGAAAATAGATAATTTGATCACTGATTGGAAACAAAAGAATTGTGGAAACCATATTTGTTACTTTGACTGACTTTGAAGTATCTTTCTTGAAGGCTTGGAGCACTGTAATACTGCACCAGTGAGGACCCAGAAAAGTCTGATAATTGAGGGACATGAAGCTAACTTGTCTAGGTTTAAGACTGAGAAGAAGGAACCTGCGAGGTCTGACTTGAAATTGGACAGGTTGTCAGAACGTGAGAAGGTTAATATCTGAATCCTTTTCTTTTGAAGCATGAATAGGGTTGTATTAATGGTTATGCCTGCTCATATATGTATCTATATAGTATATACACTGTAAAGACACATCAAAATGACATGCATTTCTTTATGCATAACTCTAATATGTATATTTCTCTGAAGATATGATGTATTCTGTTGTCTTTATGCATAGCTGTGTTGTATTATAGATGCCAAAATTCCATTTTTTTTGCTCATTATAGTTTCTCCTTTTGTCTTTATGCACAACACCCAGTCTTTCCTGTGAGATTGTTTTTGGCAACAAAATAGTTTTATTATTTGTTTTTTTTGGCTTATTGATCATGGCCACTCCTTTTGTTGGTTCTCAGAAAAAGATAATTGTGAACCTAGTCAAAATCCAAAATGACGGGACAGTGGAGGTTGATGTAGCTCAAAGTGCACCTGTAGCTTCACAACTGTTAGAGCTTGATACTGTTGATTCAATACCCATTGGTGTTGAAGATACTGCTAAGTTCAATAAATCAATTCCCAGATTGAAAATTGCAATGCTTGTTGTTGGAACAAGAGGAGATGTTCAGCCTTTTCTAGCTGTGGCAAAGAGACTTCAGGCAAATATGAGTCCTCACTTTACTTCAATGCTTTCTTTATTCTTTTGTGACATACTTTCTTTTTCTCTTTTCTTTTTAAACAGTTGTACTTTCTGTCTAGCATTAAGTAGGATTTTTGTGCTCGTTGTTCCTTGGCTGGTATATAGCAATATGTATCATATGGGTTTGTATATTGAGGACTTGTTAGAGAATTACCTAAAATGGAAAGTCTGCACACATCTTTTTTTTTTTTTTGTGGATATGCTTATGTTGAGAATTATATCCAATTGACTATAAATAAGAAGACAGGTTTTCAGTTGGTCCTGGTTAATGCTTGCTTGAGATGCCAATTTTGTCATATGTATTAGCTCTCTATACATGTCTCTGACTTTTGTGATCTGATTTAATGTATTGTATACCCAAATATAGATGTGCTTATTTGATGATCCCCTTTTTATGGTGTCATATGATATGTTCTATGTTACTTGGATTTCTGGTATTGTTTTTTGTTTGCAAATACGTCAAAAGTTCAAAATTTAGTATGTCTATATGAATATTAAAGTTGTATGATTAAAATAAAATACTATGGAAAAAACGTCTAGTGCATCCATAGCTGGAAAAATGTTAAGTATAGTTACTTTTTCCAATAGCTATTTCTAGTAATCCATATATCCTTGCTTTATTTTGGAATCCATTTTCTGCTGTGTCCACCATTCTTTTATTTATTGTTAATTAAGGGAACCAAGATGATGCACTCAAGGATCATGTTTTTGTAAAAAATCTGGTGGATTTCTAGATAATAATGACAATAATGTTCTGAACTTCTGATATTAATTATAAAGCTGATGTTTCTGTGGACATTCTTCTGTGGACATTCTTTTGGATGTGACCACTAAATTTTGAATTATACCATTTGGGGTATATTTGGAATTATACCTTTGGACTTCTCTCTCTCTCTCTCACAAGTGGCCATGGTTAGACTTGAATACGGGTTGCACCAAGCAATGACCCCTTACGTCTGAGTTCTCTGCAAACAAGTAAAGTGCTGCATGGGCAGATGTACTAGTACTGACATCCAGCATCTTTTGATGATCGATAATCTGGAAATAATCCAGTTTCATGAACCTTTTGTACAAAAGCCAGGAATTTTTGGGAAAAATGACAAATTAGGAGATTTCTTATTGTTTTGATCAGTGGGTTATATCCTTTATTGATTGTAAGAAATGTACAATGTTAATGTAAAAGAGTACATCGGTACAATCTCAAAAATAAAGTATAAAATTGAATACAGCTAGCATGATGCTATTCCTTTCTCTATTGAGAGCCCCCTTAATCTTACATAGATCCTGTTTCCCTATTCTTTAACTGGCACTAGAATCTATGATTGATTTGGCTGACTATGGGTTCCATAGCAATTCTGCTTCTACACTGTTGCAGAGGTGTCTTGCTTCTCTAATCTGTATTCCAAAGTCCATCAATTTATCCCTTTAATCAGCTCATAATTGATTTTGAGCCTCCTTTTACAAGTAGTCCCAAGAAGCCAGATGCATTGTCCAATCTTAGTCCTTGAAGTACATGTATCTCAGATTTTGCAGAGTTCACAACATAATTTGTCCTGAAAAAGCTAACATAGCTTCCCCTACATGGTTAGGTTTTCCAAATTAGGAGTTTTGGAGATTTTTTGTGCAAAGAAAGTACTCGTGTGTATTCTGTGTGCTTTTGACTTGCCTGATCAACCTTGGAACCCTAGGTTAAGAATATTCAGCCCAATTTTGTGATTGGTGTGTACACATGTGAATGCTTATGTTGAAATGTATGCCTGTAAGGGGCATTTCTGTCTTTTGGGTATAGCATTGTATTTCCCCTGTTAAGGATCACTTAACAGGGGCATTTCTGTAATTTGTATGTTCTCAAAAGAGGAATAACAGTTAAGGTTGACCCTTTTTCTCTCTCACATTCTTTTTTTTTTTTCTCTTGTTCGCTACTGTATCAGGCATCCTTTTTCTATCCTTTCCCTTCTTTTTCTTCTCTTTTCTCTCTATATTATCAGGTTATAACAGCTTGAATGTGGAGATAACTTTCCACGTTGGAAGCACTTTTCTTTCGAAGGAAACTGTTTGAGAGATGAAGTTAATTTCATAAGAGTTTGTTTTGTTCTGATATATGCTAAATTTCACTCAAAAAAGGAAAAAAAAAGAAACCTTATTTGATATTCTATCCATTATATGCATGTTACTTTTGAAGGCTAATGGTTCTTGGGAAGTGGGAGTGACAGGTTTCTATGAACTATAACTAAATTGTTAATCTAAAGGTTTGGCAGATCTTAATGACCAGAAATGAAAATGGTAAATCTTTTACCATGTAGTTTTCCAGGGCAGTGTTGTCTTTGTTTGGTCTATTATCCTGCATCTGTAAAGAGTGGTAGTGTTTGTGCTTCTAATTTTTGATTGCCAATTAACTTCTGTTTATTGCTGACAAGATGTTACTGTAAAGAAATGATCTTATTTTTCCATCATATATAGTTAACATTGGCTTGATGTTTTCATGCAGGAGTTTGGTCATCATGTTAGATTGGCAGCTCATGCTAATTTCTGCACCTTTGTTCGTTCAGCTGGTATAGATTTTTATCCTTTGGGTGGTGACCCTCGTGTTTTGGCAGGATGTAAGAGGTCCCTAATGTGGAACTTATTCCTTTTAATTTCATGTGTTAGACTTCTCTAAATTGTCATTTCATATTGTGGTATAAGTTTAATTTGGTTAATTTGGTTATGGTCTTTCTTTATGGGTTATCCTGTATTATAATTGATTTCCTGTGGATTTATTCAAACCTTTTTTGTTGATTCTTCTAGATTTTTCATGCCACTAGTGAATATTGATGATAACCCTCATCAGATTGTAAGATTTTACTCAGATAACTGGTTGTGTGTATAGATGCATTAGAAGTCCCCCCCCCCCAATGCAACACTAATCTCATGAATTACCTGAAAATGTTCTTCCTATAGTGTATCTTAGTAAGGATATAAAGTTTCACAAAGCAAAATAGGAGAGTGAAAAATTCATTCTACTCCTCTCTTTCAAAATTTCCCATAATATCACTTAGCCATCTTCCACAAGATTTGTCCTAATTAGGGTTGTCAATGGGTCGGTTCTGCCCGAACCGAACCAAACTGATTATGTTGGTTTTGCCCTGGTTAATAATCGAGTCAGTTCCAGTTCTTATTTGTCCTGAACCGATTATTTCACTAAATATATATATATATATAATATTTTCCTGATTTTATTATAATTTTATTATATTTTATGTTTAAAATGGTTTATTAACATATAAACAATTTAGTATTTTACTATCATTTTTATTAAGATTATATAATAAAAATTTACATTTTAAGTTATTATATAAATAAATATATAGTTTTCAGAATAGTCAGGTCTATTGGGTAAGACCTGATAGGGCCCGACTATTAATTGGAACGGTTCTGGGTGAAGGAAGGGGAAATCCATCATATGGATGGCTGAACCATGCTAGATGGCTGGGCAAAATTTCAAAAAATTTCTTTTACCCTTTTGGGAATCGTATTCCTAGTTTTAGAAAAACTGCATTTTTCAAGGATTGTTCTTGCACTGAACCGGACCGGATCTGAAACCAAAAAGAAGGGTGAAGTATACCTGATACGGAATCCACAAGTGTAGCTCCCAAAGTGGTAGTTCACGCTCAAAGATGGTACCATAACCAGCTTCCACTGAAGATGGCGTAACTTGAATTGAAGTCGGTTCAGCAACACAATCTTTCAGCAAAAACTGTAATCCAACAGTTTGGATCGAGCAAGGGTAGTGAGCACAAATTGAATCTGATGTTTTCTTGCAAAAATCAGAAATCAGAACTGATCATTATCAGTTCAAGAATTGGAGGTCGAACTAGGGTTTTAGGCGGCAAGAGCAGGAGAGAACTGAGAGCAGTTCTCCCTCCACCTTTTATAAGCCTTAAGGATCAGCACTCCTAATCCAATTAGGAGGAGTCTAATCCAAATCTTTATTTGGATTTGGACTCTTTAAGTGGATAAGACTTATCCTCTTATCCTAATTGCTGATCCAAACCCATATTCATACCCATATTTGCCCATGTCACATGACTGCTTAAGCTGTCATGTGACCACTTGATTAATCTAATTAATCATGGGATTTAGGCCCATTAAGTAAGTGGCTCATGACCCTAGATAGTTGCTGGCCCATTTGGCTCACTTTGTATGGCATGGGACCCCAATAATGACCTCACAGAAGCCCATATGGGTTCGGCCCAACTTTTGTGAAAAAGCCTAGCCAAATTCATTATCAAGTACAGTGAACCCCTGAGTCCATCAGTATGGGCTCTTAATGGGCCCAACATTTACACTAAATGATCCTTGAGTCCAACCATCCTATGAAGGCCCAAGGACAATGAACTTAAGTGAGATATAGCCCATCAGGTAAAACAACCCTTAATGGTCTCTTACACTTAACTTCTCAGCCCATAATGATGAAACACTGCCCGACAAGGAAGGACCTCTCCCCTGGCTGCAAGGTGCAGTGTTGCACTCTCTTCTCGGATGGGTCCCGGGAATTAAAACCTTTTACAAACCTTTTTCTTAAAACATAATATATATTATCATATAAATATATTTTGCAAAACAAATCTCAAACAAGTTTGAAATCGACTGCCGACAGTTTTGGTTTCCATCAAAGAGAGTGCAGTCCCGATCATTCACTTTGTCTGACAAAGGGGCTGATCCTGTCACTATGATCACCCACTCGAGTGAATTCTCAGACTGCCCCAACATACCTAGGTTTTGACCCCCAAAGGATATCACTGATTGGCATATCAAAGACAGCCCAATCCTACACCCAATGCAGTACCATCATCGAGTCTAGGGGTTATGTGTAACTTTCCAGTTTTGCCCACTAGTCTCCAAGGTTCAGGGCATAATTGGAAATTGGTCCGGGTTTAGTGTTTCGAACAAACACACACTGCATGAGCTTTGAGTCCAACCATGGTAGTTGAGACAGGTTGCCCCAACCAGTGTCAGTCTTGGCAGGATAAATTCCCCAAGTCTATCCAACGGCTGAGAACATTCTAAACTAACACGAGTCTCATAAGTGTCCAGTTTAAGGGTAATTTACATAGAAACACACCAATTATAACATGAATCAATTATGTACTTTTGTTTATTTACAATAAATGCATATGTACATCAATCTGATTGGAGCTAAGGGCATACACTGTCTAACACTGGGTCTGTTACTTTTTCCCGATTAATAATCGGCTCAGGACTAGTTCTACCTAGACCTGACCTGTTGACATCCTTAGACCTAACCCAATTGAGGTGAATGACATTGGGATACAGTAAATTCATGACTGGTGTTTGTTACTTGGGCCCCTTCTGTGTCCTCATGGAAAGAGTGTAAAACTAAGCTTCTTATGGTAAAGGTTTCTTTAGATGTTTGTAAAGTACTTATTTTTGAAACAAGTTTTAACAGTGATGGAATTATATCTTGAAACATCTTTACAGTTTCTTACTGCTAATATTTATAGAATAAACTAGCTATCTTTGTTCTGTCTGCCATCCTTCTTTTTGCCTTACTCTATATATTCAGTTGCCTAATTCTTTTTGCTTTATATAAAAGGTATTATATATTTGTAATACTATCACAAAGATACTACAATATGGGTTTAGCATGAACCCAAATATGTGACAGGCTATACATACTTTTTGTGAGCAAGATATTAACAAAAAAAGTATGTAGTTGTCAAAGAATCTGCTGTACTCTAAGATTCTGAACTCCTTGTGCACTGACAGCCATGGGAATATATTCCCTTTAATCCTCTCCAGTACATCCTATTCATTGGACCTTTGATTATGAAATATCCAATCGTTTCTCTCCCCACCAAATGCACCAGAACACGGCCAATGGAAGCAGGTTCCCCTTCTACTTAAACCCTTTAACTAGCCAGCTTTGCATAATTGACATGGTGGATAATGAAAAACATCCCACCCATCAATGTAGTAAGGACTGTACTCTGTCACCTTAGACACATAAGAACAGTGTAAGAATAAGCAATTTGATGTCTCCCTGTCCATGGAACTGCACTCCACCAAAGATACTTTTGATCTTGGAAGTCAAAAGAAATGTATATGAAGTAGGGTATAATAGAATTTAAATAAGAATTGTATTAAATTAAAGGAAAACTTAAAAGAAAATAATTGTTCAAAAATCTCTTTTAGGTGAATTTGAAAGGGTTTGTAACTTTTCAGCTAACTTATGGCTTCAAATGTCCAGGAACTAAATAATACTTAGACATGCATTACAATTAGCCTGAATTATGTTATCTTGTGCATTATCCTGCTTCTGATGCATGTTTCTGTTGTTCTGACTTTATCAGATTCATATTGTGTTTTTATTTTATCATTACATAATTATGGATTTATATGTGAACTACAGATATGGCCAGAAATAAGGGTTTTCTTCCTTCTGCACCCGGAGAAATATCTTTGCAGAGAAAGCAACTGAAGGCTATTATTAATTCCCTTCTTCCTGCTTGCACAGAACCGGATTTGGTCACTGGCACTCCTTTTAGAGCGCAGGCAATCATTGCAAACCCTCCTGCATATGGTGAGTGTTTGAGTTCAGTTTTACACCTTAGAAGCTTAGATGGCCAGAGTATACTTTTATGCTCAATGCTTCTTTCCTCTAAATCCTTATAATGCTATTGAAGCATAACCTTTGAGTGTCTTTCCTTTGAAAGATAGTTTTTGAGATTTATGTATATGCTATGTCAAACTTGAAATATGGGCTCCAGTGATCGATCTATTAAATAACACAAAACAACATTAGAAGTGAGGAGCAGAGTCGGTTGAGCTCCAAGTAAGCATGATAAAAAGGATTTAGTTTGAAATAATGAACATTTTTCATCTGTATGAATAAGTTTTACACCTAAAATATTTTAAGACCATTTAATTGGTGGGTTGAAGAGCGTAAATGTCTAGTGGTTGGCCTACTCAAGTTAGTTCAACTCAACAAAGCTGTAATCTAACTATTTGGGTTTGGGTACACAGAACCCGTGATTCCACTCTATCAGAGACCATATTTTTTGTAATATTGGTGACTTGTGGGTCCTCATCTTTTTCTTAGTACCTCAGCTTATGTCCTTTTCAACCTCCATAGCCTTTTTAGAACCCTCAACTTGCATCAGATCAACTAATTTCCCTGGTTCAGTTAATGGTCTTCTTCTAGCCTACAATAAACCTCTGTTTTCTTTTCCGAAGATCATAAATGATGCATTAGGCATCTTGGCTTCCTAGATATATTAATAATCACACATACAATTATTGAATCTTTACCATGGATTTTTTTATTAGAGAATTTAACTTTTATGAATTACAACGATTTTGTTGCAAAGTTGCATCTCTAATTGTATTATTCATGAAAAAAAGTTTGTGTAGTGTTGATTATGAGGTTAATACCTGTTGCTCTTTACATGGTTGGTCCGCATCAATGTTTTTGGTATATGAAAAACATCTTTTTTGTTGATACCTGTTTGTAAAATATCATTTTCGTATCAGTGTTTTCAACCCACAGTCTAACCGGCTGGTCAGACTGGTTGACCCATCACCCAGCCTTAGATTTAACTGAGAATTGGCTAGACTTGTTCCACATCCATATTCTCTAGTCTGCTGTGTCGATAGATGGTGAAACCTGCTGCACCTTCTGTAGAAGCTCAATGAGGGATGCAATCTCTCAATCATTGAGATATCTCCTGAATTTGGGGCACCAAACATCATTATTGTTATGGATTTCAAAGCATTCACTAACTTGTGCATCAGAATATGCGGCTATTAAGAATAGTGAGCAAAAGGATAGATGTAGCAGGGTGTTATCACATCAGATGCCCTGCCAAATTTGAATGTCTCTTCTAATTTTGTATTTAATTCCTTTGGAAAAATCATGAGATTCAGATTCAATACCTCTCCATGGAGCACAACCAAAGGTTTGAGATGCTTCACCTGGGTCCCAGTTTAAATTTCTAGTTCCATATCTCCAAGCAATTACTTGTCTCAACAAATTGGTAGGTTCCTCAGTGAATCTCCATGGCCACTTTTGCAAGCAGAGACGCATTTACCTATTTTAAATTCTTTATGCCTAGACTCCCACTCGTAGAATCATGAACTTGCTTTTAGTTCACCAAATGATACTTGTTCTTATCCTTCGAGCCAGTCCATAGAAAATCCCTCATTTTAGCTTCTAATTTCTTTGCTACATCTGCTGGAAGGGGTGTATCAACACTTTGAACCTTACTCATCTTTTTTATTTTATTTTATTTTATTTTTTCAAAATTTCACAGGAAGGTTATTTTTATGTTATTTATTATTAAAAGAAGAGTTTTTTTAAATACCTTAAAAAGGGGTATTGATACCCCAAAGATACGATATGATACACCCGATACGGGGCGTATCATATCGATACTTTGAATCTTGGAGAGAAGTAATATACTGGGAATGATGAGAGCAGTGATTTAAAAGACATGCCTTGTGCCTCAGATTAGGCATGCACTTTTGTTTAACTTTATATTTTTTTGTGCTTTTTGAAGCATGGTGGCTAGCCCTAGAACCTCAAACAAGCCCCTTGAAGCAAGACCAAACAAGTCCATGCTCTGAGAACCAGCTTTTTGCTAATGTTGTTCATTCATTCTTCTTAATACAATACATTTTTTTTTTTAAAAGATAAGGAACTATAATTAAAATTATAAAACCATTTTTAATACAAATTAAGAATTTAAGACCCTAACATGGACTTTTTTGGGCTTGCCTCAAGGTGCTTGGTACAAATGGTGGCTCATAGAATTAGGAATGAAAAATATTTAATATCATGTTAGCTATTTGAAATAATGAGGTTGGGAAGGAAATAAACAGGTTGAAAATTTTCCATGTTTGAATTGTTGAGTGCTTCCATATGATTTATATGTTATGTTTGATTTTATTTTTGCATTTTCACTTTGAATATGTTTTTTATGTTGTGTTCATGTATTTTAATTTGAGCTAATAGGCTTTTTAAAACATTTAGTATAAAATTAAAGTTTGTGTTTTTAATTAATACTATAGAGAAAGAAGAGAGGAAGTAAAGCAACTAGATTAAGCGGAAAAAGTACAAGCAACTCTATTAAAACTTGAAAAAAAAAACATCTAAAGAAGGACCTTGGATCCAAATTTGAATATCCATTTTAATGTACTCTCTTCGTTTACTTCCTCTTTTTTGTACTAATGATACTGAATTACTGAAGCAGAATGTTACCTATATATTTTTTAACATTCATGTGTTGAAACTTTCTATTTTAAACTTGTCTGCCTCTCAAACCGTCTGTAGTTACCTTATTCATTTTGTAGGTTCCTAGAGAGTTTACCCAAATATTCTAATATAAGCTTATTTTTGTAGGACATGCACATGTTGCTGAAGCTCTTGGTGTACCCCTTCATATCTTCTTCACAATGCCATGGACGTGAGTTTACTCAACCTTTTCTTCCATGATGATCAGTAAAACGTTTTTTTGGCAATAAATAAAGAAGAAAATAAAAACAAATACAAAGATTTAAGATTGCATGTTGAAATCTTAAACAAGATGAGTTCTAACTTTCTATTATCTTATTAAGTTTATATTGAAAAGGAACCTTGTTGCTTTTGCTAAGGGGAAAGTAACCTGTTCTCATTAGAAAGAAATGCCAGTAAGCATGTTAGATGGATATTAAGGTTGCATGTTTCATTAATAAAACACAAAGATCTAAGGTTAAGTTGTGAAAAAGTTAAAAATATAATCAACTCAACTCATCCTTAATTCTAACTATTTGGGGCCAACTTTATGAACCCTGTCCTACTATTTTCTCTATCAGGAGCCATGAGAGAGTGAAAATGTGAATGTGCTAAAAAGCTGTAAACATCGATAGGTTAGTTAAAATGTGAAATGTAAGCCTAGGCCATAATGAGTATTGGGACACAATTCCAAGTTAAGAAGTTGTAAGGAGGGTGGGCTAGCTGAGGCTAACAATCTAAAGATGGGTGCAAGGCACTTAAACTTTGTAGATTACTCCTAGAAATTGGGAATTGGGAACCTGATTTAGAGCAACATAGCCTTGCTAGGTAAATGGTTATGGAGAGTTCCCCTAGAAAGAGATAATAGCACAAGGCCATTGTAAGCATTCATGGTGTTATGGACAACAGCTGGGTAAATGCAAAGAGGTACTCCCAAGCTATTTTAACCTCATTTGTTTTGATGCAAGTATGTGGGAATATAATCTTCTTTTGGGAGGATTTGTGGCTTGGTGACACACCCCTTAAGCTGCAACCCCCTTTCCAACCATAAATTTGAACCTGTTTCAAAATTTGACTAGGACTTTGGGTTCAAGAGGTGTTTGAGGGATAGTGAATGTGATTCCCTTGTTCTTTTGTTGGCCAAATTGGATTAGGTTTTCTTGGATTAGAACACACAACAGGGTGTGGTCAATCTCTTCTGATGGTTTCTTCTCTTGTGCTTCATTTTTCAATTCTCAGACATTCTATTCCCTTGGGGGTGAACTTTCCGGTGAAAGAGGTTTGATGCAAGCCAATCCCACCTAAAGTATAGGCTTATGTTGGGAAGTATTTCTTGGAAAGATTAATACCTGTGACATGCTGTAGAAAAGAAGGCCTAACATGTGCCTTGTCTCCTCATATGTGCTTTCTATCCAGAGCCAGTGGTGAAACCATCTCCCATTTACTAATCTCCTCTCCTTTTGTTCTCTGGGAGTACTTCTGCTCTTTCCTTCGTTACAGGCATTCATTTTGTACCTGCTTTGAAGGTTTCTCATCCTCCTTTTACTTGAATATTAATATAATATCTTTACCAAATATAAAAAAAAAGTTATTGATTGGCGCAGCATGAAAAGGAAATACTGTCAAACTCAAACATAAAAATGAAAGCAATTTTGGAACTCCTCCTGACTGTATGTGTAACCAAGTTCTGTTCTACTACTTGGAATGTGACACCAATTTTTGTATTGTCTTGCTTTTAAGGGAACTTAAATCAGGACTTCAGCAATGAGCTCAGAGTATTGTACTCAAGTAACTTCTGTTGAGTGGTTTATTTTGGCAATTGGCCACTATTGTAACTCTTGTGCTAGGTTATGGTAATGGGAATAAATCAAAATGATTATTTCTTTTATAAGGAAAAGAAGTTTAACAAAGCAAAGTGCTTTCAAGATAATGATGCATGTTCTTACTTCTATCATCTATAGGCAGGCCAACACATGAATTTCCTCACCCATTGGCACGTGTATCACAGAGTGCTGGTTATTGGGTATGTCCTTGGTTCACAGTAGATCTTGTAGTTATCTTTTCCTTAGTGTGTTAATGAATATCATTTTTTTTTTCTTTTTATCTTGTATTCTCATTTTTCCACTTTTTCTGGATCCAGCTTTCATATCTTCTTGTGGATTTACTGATATGGTGGGGCATTAGGGGATTCATAAATGACTTCAGGAAAAGGAAGTTGAAGCTTGCTCCTATTGCATATTTCAGTACATACCATGGATCTATATCTCATTTGCCAACAGGGTATATGTGGAGTCCTCATCTTGTGCCAAAACCAAATGGTAAGGATGGCCTTTTTTGCTCAGGTACAGATTATCCATGTATTATACCTAGATGTTATCTATGTTTTTCCATTCCTTTTCTTCTCTTTCTTTTTCATTTTTGTTTTTGTTTTGATATGTAAAATTTTGTTTGCCACAATTTGATAAAGAGCTGGAAAAGCATTGCTTGAAGGTTTGTCTCTGCACCACTTATTTTCTGCTAAATCTCACTCACAATCCATTCCCTACTTCAAATCAAGGTTCAAAATTTCGATACATATTGGGCCGTATTGCCCAATATGTGTCGTATTGGGGGCTTCCCAATATGCCCCTACAGGGGGGTGTTTCGGGTCAGTGGTTCAGGGGGTAGACTGGCCTTAAACTGACCCTTCTGAACCAGATGAAAAAATTAAAACAAAAGAGAAAAAAACACTGATATAGGCTGATACGCTCTACTGGCATATTGGCCTGTATCGATATTTTGAACCTTGCTTCAAATGAAATATGTTGCTGAAAGTCAAATCATCCATGTTCATTAGAGTTTGGAAAAAGTTTTAGTGCTGGCTACCAACCTGACACAACCCTCCTTTATCCAGTCTTGGGATCTGTTCTGTGGTTTTTTCATTCTGTTAATTGTTCTGTTTTGAAAAGCAGGCAGTTCCTTAGGTCCAGGAAATAACTGCCTAGCTGTCTGGCTTCATCAAACTAGAAACTAAGCACTTGTCTACTGTTTTAGGCAATTTTCTTGTTGACTGAGCAACCATTAGGTGTGTCTTTGTCAAGGCCTCTTCAATTTGACTTCATAAATAAAGTATGTAATTATACTTATTTTAAGGTTTCCCTGATGTTCCATTGATAGATTCCATGTATTTCTTAGTGTTTTTGCATTTTGGGATGTCAGTGATAAACCAGCATTGCCCCAACCCTATCAGGTTAGGGTAGAGTCAACCTTAATCAGGACCTAACCCGTTGACATGCATCATTGAAACATTTGTAGAGGTAGCCTCAGTTTAGTATAAAGTATGCCATATGTGGGATAGGTTGGGTTTGATATCCCATTTTTGCTTACTTGGGTTGGTTTGTGTTAGGGTTGGAGTTACTTCAGGTTGATCCAAAGCCGTTCTGAATGTGAGCTGTTGACATCCCTACTTCCAATGTTCTTCCTACTCCCCAAATTTTTCAGATTTTTGAGAAAAACTCTCTAAATGGAGAGAGTTTCTGGAAAAAGTGAAACCTAGAACCATGGTGCACAATGCAAATCCTAATATTCATCTCTATGAAAAGTTGTTGTTGTCTTCATCATTATCATCATCCTCCAAGCCTTATCCCAACTATAGGGTCGGCTATATGAATCCTATTTCACCATTCCGTTCTGTTTAATTTCATATCCATTGTTAAATTATGGGCACTCAAATCACTTTTAACTACTTTGATCCATGTCCTTTTTTTTGAGAGAGGTTAACTTTTTATTGAAGAAAAAAAGAGTACATGAGGTGATGTACAATGGCTTAATTCTGTCACTTTGATCCATGTCCTTGTATAACATTAATCTGTATTAAATGTGATGCTGAATATTTTAACAATGTTTCATTGTTGCAATGCTTTCCATCAATATTTTTTTTTATTAATATAGGTAAATGTATTGCATTAAAAAAATTGGTGAAAGTCTTAATTTCAAGAAGCCAGAACAAGTGGTTAAGAACCCAGGGACATGAATCTATAAAAAAACTATAAAATGACAACTTTGTAGTCACCTTCCACTCTTAGATTTGGAAGGTTGTAAGGAAAAGCCAATCTAAGACCTTGAAGCAAGGCAAGAATCTTGGCTCTCAAGGAATTGTCCACTTTAGTAGGGCTTGAGTAGCTTAGTAAACTTGAGCCATTCTTTAATTATCTCTTTAGTGCTGGCTGCCCCATTAAGGGTATTCAAGTAATTGTACTTAATTTTAGAATTAAGTTAATAAAAGAGATTAAGGGGGCTAGAGAGAGGTTCAAACTCTTCTTTTTTCTCTTCCCTTCTCTTCTTCTTCAACAACCTACTATCGAAACCCCTTTCTTCTCCTTTTTCTTCCTTTATTTCCTTTCCTATATTTTCTGAATTGCTACAGGTGTATTTCTCAACTTGGTATTAGAGCCACTTTGACCAAGTGGTCTAGTGTTCGATCCTCGTCACCCCCATTATAATTAATTAAGTTTCAACACAAGGTATGGGTGGGCTTGTGCTTGTTCACGCTTCAAGCCCGATGGGCTTTTGTGTGAGGGGGGTGTGTTAGAGAATATCAACCTATTCAAGGGCCTGGCCTCAATCTATTAAGATACATGTGTGTGGTAGAGAAGTTTGGGGTTGTTCATCAGAGTTCTTGTGCCCGCACTCCACAACGAAATGGAGTAGTGTAGAGGAAATAGACATATTGTGAAAGTTGCAAGGAGCATATCCTTTTTGCTACCCATGTTCTTGTGAAGTTTTGGGGTGATGCAGTTTTAACAGCCACCTACCTTATTGACCGCATGCCTTCTCGAGTCTTGGGGTTAAAATCTCCTTTTGGAGTCCTCTTTCCTGGTGTTGAGATTTTCTCTATTCCTTTGTAGGTCTTTGGTTGCACTTGTTATGTCCACATTCCTAGTTCTAAGAGACATAAGTTTGACCCCAAGGGGTAGAAGTGTATCTTCCTTGGTTATGCCTTTGTAGAGAACACTGATGTGGGCCCCACAGCTATGGTCCCACTGTGCTCGTAGGGTAGAATGTGTTCTAGTCTTCCTAGGGTTAGCTGGTGGTCAGTTGGTTATTTCAGTTGTTATTTATTTCAGTTTTATTTTGTTCTTTTTGTTATGTAAATACTAAGGGCAGATCTGTCCTTTCCATGTAATGGGCATAACCTATAAATACTAAATAAGAGTGGCGGCGACAGAACATTCAGATTCTGTCCCTCCTTTCAACCCTTTGTGTTCTACTGTTCTCTCTTCTCTTTCTCTTCTCTTCTCTACACTTTCCTTCTATTTTCAAACCTGAAATCTATTAGGGTTCAAGGCTGATAGTAGTCTTGAACTTCTACTTGGTATTAGAGCAAGGTTAGGGTTTCTCATGTGAGTCTAGTCCAGCTGACCACATGAGAACCATCTAGGGTTGGAAGCTGAGAAAGTAGAGTTCGATGACTGATTCTTGGAGATCGCTAGAGGGTTTAGCAGCTGTTGAAGACTTGCCACGGTTGCAAAGTGTTGGTGATCAGGAAGAATCAGAGAAGGCTAGGGTTTGGGTAACCTTGGAAGGCAGCGAACAACATTCTCTTGTAAGTTATTTTATTTTCTAAGAGAAGTACCATCAGAGAAGATAGGTTGGACCCATCTAGAAAGGGCGGCCGAACCATTCTAGGGTTTTCTTCTTTCTATTCTCTAGGGCTTGATATTGATCTTGCGGCAAACCCTACTAATCTTGCTGCAAACCCTACTGCTTGGCCAAGCCTTGTGATCTACCTGTGAAGCTCTTTTGAAGTTTTTTTTCTCAGCATTGATCAGTTTTAGGGTTTCATATTAACCCTACTACATGTCCTATCTGTACGGTACTGCTTGGAATGTGCGGCTGAGAATTTTTTTTAAGGACTGATTAAAACCCTAATTCTGGTTCAACATATCAGATCATTCTGGTTCAGCATATCAGATTTTTTTAAGGGGTGAAAACAGTATGGACTGTTGCTATTGTGTTTGCTAATTGGTTTCAGATCAAACTTATACTGGTTTCATGCACATATACCGTGAATACAGATTAGTTCTATACTGATTTTTGATTGTGATTGATAGTCCAAGTGTTGTTCTTCGACTGTAGTAACCCTAGTTTTTGAGACTGTTGGTTCTTGAACGAAATGGAGTTTAAAAATCAGGCAGAAGGCAGTTTTGGAAACAGCAGTTCTGGTAGTGTTTATGAGACAGGTTTTCAGATTACAACCGTAAGATTTGATGGATCAAACTATTTGGAATGGGCCCAATCAKCCATGATGGCTATTGGGGGAAGGGGTAAATTAGGGTATCTCTTGGGAGATGTGAAAGAACCTTCCAAGGGAGACCCCATGTATATCAAGTGGGTCCAAGAAAACTACTTGGTTAT